CGAATTATGTATCAGCTAGTTGAGATAATTTTGTGCTATAAAACTGCAAATCATTGTTAATATTACATTTGTATTGGTAAAAGTGCTGATAAATTGATGGAATATTTTTACAAAGCTATTAGCAATTTTCGTTTTTTAATGCAAAAAATATAGATTCAAACGAAAAAATTACCGTTATGGAACGCAATAAATTTTTTTACAATTTTATGTGCAATTAAATAATTGAAAACGATAATAATAAGCCTGCTCGTGAAACTTCCCTACATGGCGTATGAGTGACATTGCTGAGTTGTGGCGTCTTCATTAGTGTGCAATGTATGTACGTGCATAAATGCAAATATTTCTAATACATATATGCATTCTATATTGAGTATTGTGCYAGTATACTCTTTTCTAAGGCTATTTGTTTTAAAGAAAATATGCTTATCTGCGAAATTAGTTTTTGAATATAAAACTGAACACCACCACTTGCACCTTTTATAAAGAATAGAAAATTCATTTAAATAAAAATGCTTTTCTTAAATAAAAGTTCATTTTACATGTGCATAGTTGCTAAAACTAATTTAGTTTTAAACTATTTCTATACATTTTCACTAAATTTATTTTTTTATAACACCTTTCCCATTAAAATTTTCTCCGGTCTGGCTTTGTGCCCAAACGATTTGAATAATTGTTCAATTAACCCATTTCAATTATAACAAATATTTGGTTTAATTAACCTACACTTATTTTTTGTTAGTTTTTTGTCAGCATCACAGCTGCGTTTACAGCTATTAATCATAGCGGAACAGTTTGCAGGGCAATTACAATTATTTATGAGTCAAAAAGTTTCAAACTTTTGTGAACACTAACTTTAATAAATTGAGAGGAGAAAACCATAATATAGTATTAGCAACATAATTAACATTTGTGTACATACATATACATATATACATATAACATAAATATAGAAGTACTTTGGTATAAAGGGAAATGTTTATAATTGATAATTTACAATTCTTTGCTTCAAACATGAATCGTTAACTTAGAAAGTATTTACATTAAAAAGTTATATTTAAAAAGTCTGCTATCCGAGCAGTAATAATAAACTAGAAATAAAGTAAAGCTGAACCGTTGTTTATAGAAAAACGAACAACTATCAAAATTCATTTAAAATTTTTTTTTCATTCGAAACTTAACAGACTTTAGCAGATGCTTAGTAGTACTATAACGTCATTGTAAATAAAAAAGAAAATAGATTATCGTTACCTCGTTCCACATAGACAGCTGAGCTAATATCTTTATTTTAAACAAGAAAGAAATATTTAAACATTTGTATGCTATTTTATATGTACATATGTATGCATGTACAGACATATGTATATCTAAATATATTGGGTAGTCGAAAAAGTCTTTTCGTATTTTGATCGACAACTTTTTACCATTTGCTAGAGATATTACATAATTGTAAAACTTTCATCAGTATAAATCGAAATTTCCTGAACGGAAGCGAGTGAACCATTGCTGTGCCACACGAACTGATACAGCATCGTCTCCGTAAACTTCACAAATTTCATTGGTGGCTTGAGTGGCATTCTTCCCCTTTTTACACAAAAAAAAATATATCAAAATATTCCTCATTAATTTCACTCATTTTTGAACAACTTCACTGAATTAATTTTTTTTTTTTTTTTGTGTTTTGTTAAATGAAGCTTAATATCACACCTTTCCAACACTATGACAATGTGATTGGTAGCACTGGAGATATATGACTGCAACGACATCTTTTGACAAAATACGAAAAGACTTTTATGTAACCAATATTATATAGTTCATGGATAAAGAGTGTTAATTCTAACATCCAACCCTGTACATAAAAAATTATTTAAGCATATACACCAACAAGGATATATATATTTTTTATTTATCAACGTTATTATTTACTTTCTTTATTCACACTGCTAACTAAAACTGAAACRAAAAGAAGTCAAGTATACCTTCACAAAGCTAAAATTAAATGTTATGCAACTAAAAATTTTACACACCCCTGGAAGAACTTGTATCAATATTATATTTAAGTTAATATTATTATTTAAAGCTATTTATATAGACGCTAGACAGTCTCAAACGCTTGGCAATAAATTTGCATAAATTTGCGATAAATTTCAATATTGTTTGTTTGGACTATTAAATATAATATC